CACTAACTTGTTTCTATAGGCCTTCACGCCGGATCAGCTTGAGGATCTTTCTGGAGTTCTTTGGAAGAGCTATTTCGCATAATGCGCAAATGAGGGACAATAACCATACATGGGTGGAAGAGCTTGTTATACATTCTTCTTTTCACACGACACGTTCAAGATTTGCATATCGTTTTAGGCTTGTCTGGGTTACAGTCATTGAGTGGATACGGGAGCTGGCCAGCATTGGGTAGTATACGTAGGGACTTAGCATATTAAAATCCACAAGACATCTATTGTTTGATACCTTGTATATCTGCATCTCCTGCTGTCGCCTGTTCGCATGGACATTCCTAACACTAGCATTTCACAAAGTGGATATGGTATAGTAGTACGTGGTGGTGGTGTTGTTGCAGATGGAGGCCAAGTTTAGTCAGCCGGCGTGAGCAACATCACGTGCCGGAAAGCAGCCACGCGGCTCGGCGGCCATCGAACCGCATCATCAATCGAACTCCAGGGGCGCAGGATAGCTTCAAGTCCTCCCTTACGGTTAATCCTTTGCCAGTTCGGCTTTGGAAGTCTATCTTTATCCCACAGCAAGTTATTCAATCTCTGGTTCTAGCGCTCCTGCGCGTTTTTGTCCCTGTGGTGTAGAAGAACTGCTCAAGGCAGTCTTGCTTTCACCATGGCTCCAAGGGACACCTTGTTCCGCTCGTCGGAGATGAGCTTGACCCAGCTCTACATCGCCAACGAGATCGGAAGAGAGGTAGTCAGTGCTTTGGGAGAGCTCGGTCAGGTTCAATTTAGAGATGTGAGTCTGTTGCTTGGAATTCTTAGTTGACATGCTCGAACGAATCCAGCTGATATATGTTGCGTCTGTTTCTAGCTTAACCCCGACACCAATGCGTTCCAGCGTACCTTTACGAAGGAGATTCGTCGTTTGGACAATGTGGAGAGACAGCTGCGTATGTTCTGCAATTAGCGATAAGGTTTCTATGAACCTCGATCTAATCCGTCTCGCACACCAGGCTACTTCCATGCCCAGATGGACAAGGCAAGCATCCCCATGAGATCTTCGTCTGAATTCTCCGACACACTGGCTGCTCCTTTGGCCTCCGAAATCGACGAGCTCGCCGAGCGTAGCGAAAGCCTCGAACAACGGATCGCTTCGCTGAACGATAGCTATGAGACCCTGAAGAAACGTGAGGTGGAGTTGACTGAGTGGCGCTGGGTGCTGAGGGAAGCTGGTGGTTTCTTTGATCGCGCTCACAGCCATACGGAGGAAATCCGCCAATCTTTCGACAACGACGAAGCCCCTCTTCTCCGTGATGTCGAACAGCAGGGCCGCGGCCCCAACGGCGATGCGCAGGGCCAGCAGTCTTTCCTGGAGATGAACATTGGATTTGTGGCTGGTGTGATTCCGCGGGACAGGATTGGTGCCTTCGAGCGCATCTTGTGGCGTACTCTGCGTGGTAACCTCTACATGAACCAATCGGAGATCCCCGAGGCCATCATCGACCCGACGACCAACGAGGAGTCCCACAAGAACGTTTTCGTCATCTTTGCTCACGGAAAGAGCATCATCGCTAAGATCCGAAAGATCTCCGAGTCGCTTGGGGCCTCTCTTTACAATGTCGATGAGAACAGTGAGCTGAGACGGGATCAGATTCATGAGGTCAATACCCGCCTGGGTGATGTTGGCAATGTCCTGCGTAACACCAAGAACACCCTCGACGCGGAGCTCACGCAGATTGCCCGCTCTCTTGCCGCTTGGATGATCATTGTCAAGAAGGAAAAGGCTGTGTATGATACATTGAACAAGTTCTCCTACGATCAGGCGAGAAAGACTCTTATCGCGGAAGCATGGTGTCCGACCAATTCGCTGGGCTTGATCAAGTCGACATTGCAGGACGTCAACGACCGCGCTGGGTTGAGTGTGCCTACCATCGTTAATCAAATCCGGACCAACAAGACCCCACCAACCTATATGCGGACGAACAAGTTCACTCAAGCTTTCCAGACTATCGTCGACGCCTACGGTATCTCGAAGTATTCTGAAGCCAACCCCGGATTGTACACCATCGTCACATTCCCCTTCCTTTTCGCTGTCATGTTCGGTGATTTTGGCCACGGTGCCTTGATGACCATGGCTGCCGCCGCTATGATCTTCTGGGAACGCAAGCTGGCGAAGACCAAGCTGGATGAGCTGACTTACATGGCTTTCTACGGTCGTTACATCATGCTTATGATGGGTCTCTTTTCTATGTACACCGGTCTTCTCTACAACGATATCTTCTCCAAGTCCTTCACGGTCTTCCCCAGTCAGTGGCAGTGGCCCGACGATATCAAGCAAGGACAGACCGTCGAGGCATCGTTGAAGACTGGTTATCGCTTTCCTTTCGGTCTGGACTGGAACTGGCACGAAGCCGAGAACTCTCTTCTCTTCACCAACAGTCTGAAGATGAAGATGAGTATCTGTCTCGGTTGGGCACACGTAAGAGACTTGACCAAATTTTAATTAAACCATTGTTAACCTTGTTCACAGATGACCTACGCTCTCTGCTTGCAATACGTCAACGCTCGGCACTTCAAGTCGAAGGTTGATGTTATTGGTAACTTCATTCCCGGAATGATCTTCTTCCAGTCCATCTTCGGTTACCTTGTTCTTACCATCATCTACAAGTGGTCCGTTGATTGGAACGCTCGAGGCCAATCTCCTCCCGGACTTCTCAACATGCTTATCTTCATGTTCCTCTCTCCGGGAACTGTCGAGGAGCAACTTTACCCCGGTCAGGCAAGCGTCCAGGTTCTTCTCTTGCTTCTTGCTGTCATCCAGGTGCCCATCATGCTCTTCTTCAAGCCATTCTATCTTCGTTGGGAGCACAACCGTGCCCGCGCTCTTGGATACCGTGGCCTTGGCGAGCCATCCCGGATCAGTGCGTTGGAAGATGATGCCGATGGCGGTCGCGACAGCATGGCTAGCGACGGTGAAGGTGTCGCCATGATTGCCCAGGATCTCGGTGACGAAGAGCACGAGGAGTTCGACTTCGGCGAGATCATGATCCACCAGGTCATCCACACTATTGAATTCTGTCTGAACTGTATCTCCCACACCGCCTCCTACCTGCGTCTGTGGGCTCTGTCTCTGGCCCACCAGCAGCTCTCTATCGTGCTGTGGGACATGACCATTGGCGGCGCTTTCGAACAAGAGTCTTCCACCATGCGGGTCATCATGATCGTTGTCACCTTCTACCTCTGGTTCACCTTGACCATCGCCATTCTCTGTGTCATGGAGGGTACCAGTGCCATGCTTCACTCCCTCCGTCTCCACTGGGTCGAAGCCATGAGCAAACATTTCATGGGTGACGGTATACCTTTCACCCCGTTCAGTTTCCAGACCCTCCTCGAAGAGGATCCTGTTGATTAGTCTTTCTTTTTCTGACTGCATGCGTTGCATTTTCCTTTACTTTCACACTTTTGGATCAAGATGTCACATTAGTACATTCCCTGAGGGAATTCGATCGAATCTAGATATTCATGGCGTCTTGTCCTTCTATCCGTGTCTTTCTTTTGGCTGTGCTACTAGATGATCGGAAATATATATGTCAATTGTATACACAGAAAGAAGTCGTGAAGAGCCATGCCCAGACCGCAAACAGCAATTAAACAATCCTTCAGCGCCTCGTCGTGTACTAACCTTACATTTGTAGCGTATGTTTTTTTCTTTCAATTGCTCAAATGAATACCATGTCCAACTATGGAATCTTTGCCGAGTTCGCTGCAGTGTAGGGATTCGAGGAAGGAAATTCATTATCCCACCAATCAAGGGTATGCTTTAGCACACTCGCTTTAGCATCTATTGAGTGGTTGAACTAATTATCATTTACTTGACTTCAATATCTTGTAAAAGTATAATGTCTAGTAATAAACCGAAAAAGGGTATTTAGCCACTGCTCTACATAGTATCATGCTCGTAAGTACTTGTTGCAGCCGGGATATATACTAAAGTATTCATCTTCAGTTACTCTTGTCATTCCAAATCTCCACTTCCAATCTTCTATAGTTAATACATATGTTATATGAATTTGATTACATAATTCAATACTCCCAGATAACTCATTCCAATAGAAAGTCCTACGCACCGAAAACCTGACCTAAAACTAACAACCCCAGCGTCACAGCCCCAGTCGTCAAACCACCACCAGACATCACAGCCATCCTCCCTGCCCCAGATGTACATGTTTGTCTCCGTAGATACCATCATTCAATCAGCCCAACCCTAACCCAACCCAAACCACACAAACCCGTGAACAAAAGATGGAAGACCTCGTAACGCACACAAATCATCATACGCCCAAATACTCCCAATCCAACTAGTATAATTAAAAACTCCCCGTCAAATTATCATACTGGGTATAGCTACACTCCCAAGCAGCTTCACTCTAGTTATCTGACACCCTGTGCGCATTCTCACAGATGCATTTCAATGTGGATTTGGACGTGCTTTCTATAATGGCAGTGTAGTTTGTTCCGCAGGTGCCGTTGTCCAGGATTTGGCTTAGGTAGTCGGTGTAGCAGGGTCGGTAGCATGCGGAATAGTGGTTCATGTAGGCGTTCCAGGAGCAGGGGGTGAAGGACATTTTTTTTCTTCCTTTTTTTCTTTCTTTCTTTCTAGTTATGGGGGAGGATGATGAGTGTTGGCTTGGGTTTTGTTCAATTAGGAAGTAAATTGTATAGTATTTTTGAATTGCGATTTTGGGGAATTGGGTTGAAAGTGCAGTTATATACTTCAAGTGTGTTTCATTCACAGCTCACATCCCTTTCATGGTCAGCTCAGTTTCATTTCTATATTCACTTCTCTTCTCTTCCTCTTCTACCTCCACTACTCCTTCTCTTACTCTTTAACCTCCTACTTTGTTCCGGCTCTGGCGGCAGGAGCGCCTTCCTTACCTCCGGGAGAGCCACCCCATCTACTTCGACATCTACTTCGTTCCACTTGCATGTTTCTAGTTGTTTACTACTCCAATTTGAACCATTCGAATCGACCCGTTCTTTGCCCCATAAGCTTTCATATCTGCTTTACCGTTAGTGCGTTATTCAGTTCCCAAAAGTCTAAGTACTAATTACACCATCCCGACCTCATAATAGAAACATAACTCGCCGGCAAATTTCTCCGTGTCCACCTTATCCATCGTCCTGGATTTCTTCGCATATCCGAGATATTCGGCTTTTTACAGAGCAAAGATGGCTTCTATTGAGGCTGAGTTTACGGAGGAGAGAGCCATGTTGATCCAGCGCCTAATGAAATCCACCAACGTTCACTTAGTCGACAAGGCGAATCATGCCTTCATTTGGTTGTGTGATGTGGAGGTGCTGCGAGGAATGGTAAGGCATGCGGAGTCCGGAACGCCTAGCGCGAGCCAGGTGGCTTTGAGTCTTCGGGCGGGCCCACACGTCGTCAAACAGTTGAAGTCCTGGCTTGCCCGTCGTACAAGCAAAAGCGACACCGATGAAGCTGCCGACGTTGAACCGGCCACCCCGGCCACCCCGTCTACCCCCACACCCGCTACGGGAGAGTCCCCCCAACCCTCGCCTACCACACCTTCCAAGAGAAAGGCTAGCAAGTCGGAGTCCCCCTCGCCAACCAAAATTCCTCGTGTTACTAACCCTGGACTTCAACGGTCCAAAACTGCGGAAGATATAGCCAAAGCCCGAGATAACGGCCGTTGTGTTGTGACCCAGATGGGGGAGCCAGTCCAGATATGTCATATTTACCCACACTCAATGGGGGAAAAGACTGGGGGTGAGCGGGATGAGTTTTGGATGCTACTTCAGGCGTTCTGGCCCGTCAACAAGATTGAGCAATGGAAGAATGACATCTTTGGGCCCAAGGGCACAGAGATGCCCCAAAATCTCCTGTGTCTGTCGAATATCGTACATGATCTTTGGGGTAAAGCCCGGCTTGCCTTTGAACCCGTCGAAATGGCGGCGGACGGAACCTCCCTCACCATTCGCTTTTGGTGGTTACCGGGCACCAAGCTTCACGGGCGTGTGGCACTTTGTGTCCCTCCGTCTCTCCCTGCGTCGTTGAAGGCGAGCCCTTTAAATGCCAAATTATGGAATTGCGAAACTGACGCGCCCATATATTCTGGTGAAACCATAATTTTGACTACTACTGATCCTGTAGCCATGCCACTCCCTTCTTTTGAACTTCTGCATATGCAGTGGATGTTGACCCGTGTTGCTGCACTTTGCGGTGCAGCGGATGTGACAGACGAGGACCTGGAAGATGAAGACTTGGGAGATGAAGACTTGGAAGATGAAGACTTTCAGTCTGGGGGTGAGATGGCAAGCCCAATTCCTGAAGCATTGCCCCCACAGGCTTAGTTCTGTCCTGATCCACGAACGGATTATCCCGGGAGGTCTGAAGCAACTTTGGTACGAAAGTCCGAACTTGAAGACCATCTCTCCTTAGTGCTATATATTAGCCCCTCAATGGATACTTGCTTGCCACTAATTAAGGAGAATGCGAGAGTGCTTAAAGGTAGTATTGCTCTCCCTCGAAGGTTTAGGGGGCGCTGTGAATATAGTTTCAGCCGATATCGGACATTCCAAGTAAGAAGAACAGAACAGACGGATGTCCAAGATGTGTTGTAATCATCCTGCAATAATCCACCTGTAAATAGGAGCCTTAAAACCTTCTAGCTCATAACTGCTACCTGCCATTAGGATTGTATAGGTCAAGTCTGTCACATAGTCTATCTTAAGTCGACCTTATATGCTACTTGTTCTGTGAGTACATTACTATTGGTTTTTTATACAATGTCCCCTCCTATCAAAACCCGGATCACCTCGCTGCACAGCCTCGATTTCAGGTGCAAAACTATGATGCTAACAGGTGGCACTCCCTCGATTTCATGAAGTGAATCATGGTTCTCGGCGACCTAAGAATCAATAGTGTCTCGCAAACCACAATGTATCTACCATAGTAACACTTTTCGAAGCGGATCCCGCTAAATTAAATGGACCATATCTCGGAGAATAGAAAACTAGGGCATTCTTGCCAACTATAGGCCGATGCTAGCTGTTCTTCATCTAGGGATAGCCGAGCTCTACAGCCTTATATCTACACCTATGCATACATCAGTGCAGTATTTGACCGAGGATGATCCGGGCACTACCGGATCGGCATGTTCTTCAATCATAATAATATAAATTACTGCTGCTATTACGTAAATAATACCTGACTCAATGCCAATAATCCTACCAGAGCCCCTGCCGTAGACAATCTTGTTGCTGCTGATGTGCACTTTTCGGTTCCTAGAACCAACAGGTCAGCCTTTTGATTCGCATCCACATCGATATGCAAGAGAAGAAGAAGAAGAACAAGAAAAAGAAGATGGGGAAAAGGTGTTTCACCTCTTGCATACGCGCACAAATCATCGTAGCCCCAGATACTGCCAATCCAGTCGCTGTAGTTGAAATTCCCAGTCAAGTTATCGCACCGGGTATAACTACATTCCCAGGCGGCTTTACTCCAAGTATCAGATACGCCGTGTGCGTTCTCACAGATACACTTCAGAGTAGATTTGGAGGTACTAGCCGCGATAGTAGTGTAATTGGTACCGCAAGTCCCGTTGTCGAGGATTTGACTGAGATAACCCGAATAGCATGGCCTGAAGCAGGACCCATAATTGTCCATGTAGGCATCCCAGGAACAAGGAACGAAGGACATGGTGGTATGAGAAAAAATTCTCAGTAGCCCCTGATGGAGAGGAAGAGGAAAATAATGATGGGAAATGATAGTTCGGTCAGCGTGTAGGGGGTTTTTGTTGGAAAAGTTCGGGCTTGGTTTGATTCTGTCAACTTCTTCAAGTCCCGGACCAACCTTGTTTTATAACCGATCATATAACTAAATGACCAACACTTATTATTTACATTATTTACATCTTTTCCTCACCTTTTTTTTTTTTTTTTTTTTTTTTACTACCCGTCCGCTCCTCGTTGGACTAGACAAACCCTGGGTAGACCCTGCGCTGGCAGGAACAAAACCCTTAAAGGGGAAGATGGAGATTTTCTGGTGGACACATACTATGATAGTTCCTGACTAGTGTAGTTTTACTCTGTAGGATCTAATTCCCTGAGTAAGTTAGCTTCGCTCATATCAGGGTCATTCGGGTGGACCCCGGACTTATCCGATTGGTTGCCTAAGATTTGTTTCCTAGGCCGGGTTGTTATCCAATATCGTGAAATTAACAGCTGCACTTCAGAAGTTTTGGCACATCGGCTACGAGCTAAGGCTGGGCTTGGCGAAGCTTCGCTTGCGGACTATGGAAAAAGTCAAAGCGAGTAGAAGAGGCAGACGGATCAAAGGCCACTGTGAAGGGCATGGGTTTCTGCTGGTAGCTATCATCTGTACCTGACATCCTATTTCGAGACCGTGAGCTAATTGAGATGCACTAGTTCAGGACTCTAATATCGGGCCCCTCCGTCCATGATGTCCCTCATATCGGAAAAGACTAGATGACTGAAAACTTGAGGCCTACTACTAGTCCTAAACATTCGCGGGAACCAATCACATACTTTGTTTGACTGTATGATGATCACAATACTAACTTTGAGTGCAGCTTCTGAATGGGCCAATAGAATGTTCAAATCTACGGGCCAGACAACTCAATGTGACGTTTATCCTGATGGCCAGTGCGACTGCCCTTCAGGTTTCTGTTCCTATTATACCATCCCCTCTGAGTACTGGGCCGAATACGTTGTGGCGAACTTCCATGAATACATCACTGAATTCTGTTCCTTGTTCAATTAGGCGAATCAGAATCAGTCGCTGGGCATCAATACTATTGTCGGAGACTTCCCTGTCAAATCAGCAAGCACAGTACCCGATCTAGCGACTATATTCACCAATGTCGGCGGTGTACTGGGGATTGTCGGAAGCACTCTACCTCTGCTTGATGAAGAGACTGACACCGCTTCGAGCATGATGGGTGTTATGAGCGGGCTCTTTTCCACCGCTGGATCTGACATTTCCTCCAGCAGCGCGACCGATACCGAACCAATCACTCTGGAGAAGAAAGCTGAGGCTCTTTATAGCCTGATGTACACGGCTGTTCAGGATATCCTCATTGACGTCTTCGAAACCGGCAATATCTCCCTCCTCCTGGCCCTCGGACCTGCGAACTGGTGACTACTCCTTTGAAGTTGCCAATTTCTTCAATGGCCAATACATGTTCTTGCTCACTGGTGAACAAGCCAAATTCCTGGAGAGTACTTTGAACGCCCATCTTCAACAGTACCTTGTCGGCTCCGCATTGGTCTCGGCCAATTATTACGTTTTGAAGGGTGCCTACTCCACCAGTACCTGCTCCTCTATCACCAGCGGGAAGGTGATTGACGGTGCCTGTTATACTCTTCAATATCCTGGTGCAGGGTGGGAACTGGTCAAGCAGATCATGACAGATCCGATTAGCAGTGATGATCTGACCAAGCTGACGGATACCTATAATGTTGACCTTGAGAGTCTCTATACCGACTCATACACTTGCCAGAACACCACCGGTACATATGGGGGCACACTCGAGGTGAATATTCTGGAGTTCTCTTCGTCTCTTCCGACCTGCTTCTATAACCTTCCCGTCTTCACGGTCGAAACGTCTGAGGAGCCTAAGGTGAACAACTATCTATCTTCGTTATGCCTGGTGTACGAGCAGAACCTGACTGCTAAGACGGCCGAACTGGGTGTGACCTGGTTGCCGAGCAACCTGGCTGACATTTTTGTCAAGGACTTTTGTGAGTGCAATGCTGGTTCTAGAGAGTGCTCAGAGATCTAGAAGAAAAGGCACGAAGGGGGAGAAAAGGAGGGAACACTGTTCTCTTTTGATGGGAAGGGAGAAAAACTGATGTTGGAGTTTTGTTTTCGCCTGTGCACACGGGCGCATGTGATTGGTGGTAAAAAGTAATTCCTTTCAGCAAGTTATTAGTAGTAGTAGTAGTAGTAGTAGTAGTAGTAGTCGTCAAAAATGTCGTTTCAGTCTTTCATAGACAAACAAACAAACAAACAAACTCTCTCTGTTTCTTTTCTTCTCCATATAATGTAATGGAGTAGTCCGTGCCTTGCTCTTTACCAATTTGTCACAGACCGAGAAGAAGATCCAGGCAAGTCCTTTCTTTATCTGGACATGATGGACGCCACCATTCTACGGCAAGAACTGAGGCGAATCATTTCTACTATATAACTCCCTGATACTCTTCCAAAGTCCCCCGATTAAATTGTAGTGTATTTGCCCAACTGGCACGCATTTCGATGTACTTTACGGATGATGGGAGTAACAACCGCCCTCTAAGATTAAAGTAGACCCGTGCGGAGGCGGGGCAAAAGTCGGAGGAATGTAAACAACAATATAACCAAGAATACTAGGTAATTTTACAATTCTACATTGTAGTATCCTAATACGAGGGACATGAGATTGTGACTTCTGTTGTCCTGAAAAGAAAAGTATAATTATAAAATTTTTATTTGCATTCCGATTTAGATATGTAAATATTTGTGGATCATAAATCACATGCCAGTGCAAAGGTGTCACCGGGTACCTGCTGTACGCACTGACTGACTCGCATTAAGTAACATGAAACCATTAAACTCCACCCTAGTGCTGTTCCTTTATGCCATGAACTCATTTGTGGTGCTGGTTGTACGTGTCGATAATCTTCTGTACCTCGTCCTTCGAACCCAGGAACACACCGCTCCGGTCATGAATGTGTTCCGGAACCACCTCCAGAAGACGCTCCATCTGGGAGTTCACTGCCAGACCACCTGCGTTCTCGAAAAGCATAGCCATGGGGGCACACTCGTAGAGGATACGCAGCTTGCCCTTGCGGCTCTTGGAATCAGCCGGGTAGGCGAAAACACCACCGTAGAGGAGAGTCCGGTAGGCATCGGCCACCATGCTACCAATATAACGCGCGCTGTAAGGCTTCTGACCCTCACCGGGGTACTTCAGCGAGTGGAGGTACTTGTTCACCCAGTCATCCCAGTACATGCTGTTACCCTCGTTGACCGAGTAGATGGCCCGCTTGGCGGGAAGCTGCATGTTGGGGTGTGTCAGGATGAATTCACCCAGAGAGTTCTCCATGGTGAAGCCATTGACACCGCCGTTGCGCATGGTGATCACCAGCTGTGCGGAGGCACCGTACATGGTGAAGCCAGAGGCAACCATCTCCGTGCCGGGGCGAAGGAGGTCCTGAGCAGTGACCTTGTTGTTGGGACCGAGAACCTCATCGGGAAGCTTGAAGATTCCGAAGATGGTACCAACCGAAACGCCAGCGTCAAGGTTGGAGGAACCGTCGATAGGGTCGCAGACCACGGCATAGCGGGCGTTGGGGTGCTCGTCGAAGATGATAGCCTCTTCCTCCTCCTCGGAAACAAGGATACGGCACTTGCCGGAGCCCTTCATGGCGGAGATGAACACATCGTTGCCGATGACGTCAAGCTTCTTCTGATCGTCGCCAGTCGTGTTTGAGGAACCAGCCAAACCAGTCAGGTTAATCAAGGAAGCGCGACGAATGTAGTAGGCAATAGACTTAAAGGCAAATTGAAGAGCGTGGCAAAGTAGTCTGGGAAGAGGGGGGGAAATCCCGTTAGTAAGAGAAACAGCCAGAATTGAGGAGGGGTAGGAAAACTCACGTGAAGTCACCGGTGGCTTCTGGAACCTTGACCTGCTCCTCTGTGAGGAAGCGGGTGAGGGTGACAATATCCGTGTTGATGTTCTCCTGTCCTACGGGAGGAGCACCGCCATTGCCGCTTGAAGACATGTTGTGCAGCGTTGTGGTTTGAAGCTGGGGGAAGAGAGGACTTGTGAATAGTAATAGTACAAGTGGGAAAGCGGAGACAATCTAGTCTGGCGCTGGCTGCTTCTTTTAAAAGAAGTTAGGCTTTTCAACCTCGGGTCAACGGGGAAAGCAGGAAGATGCGGAGATAACCAGGGTACAGAGGAGGGGTGGGAATGAGCTGGGAGGAGCAGTTGAGATGTAGTTTATAAGTACTTTGGGACAAGTGGAGGAGGGAGGGACAGTTGGCAATGAGTACGTCGATACGTAGAAGCTGCAGGAAGAAAGTGATCTATCCTCCATCCCAGGAGAACAGGGGCATCCTTTAAGTGAGCGTTGGGGCCAGCCAGGACCAATCTTTTACCGGGTTAGGAACCTAACGTCAGAAGCCAGAATAAACCGGACATTTACAACAAAAAAGAGAGAGTGGAGAGAGAGAGAGAGAGCATCCAGAACCCTTTTCCCTTTGGGCCTGACGCAATAACTAGAAAGGAAGGATGGTTTTCGTCATTTCCCCCACTCTAACCCGGTTTGGGCGGGTTCCCGGCTCTTTCTCTTGCCTTCGCCCGGTTTAGCCCCGAATTTCCCCGCGCTGTGTTCTGGAGTTTCTTTCTACCAGTACGGAGTAGTCTATCCCGCATACTATGTAGCATACTAGCCATCTACTAGATAGTTAGTATAAATGATATTTGTGTGGTCATGCTCCTAGATGTCATTCTGTGTTTCATAAGATACTGTTCATACTCATTCTTCCATGCGGACGAGCAACAGCGATAAACACACCCCACGCTGGTTCAACCCGGACTATTGAACTCCCTCGGCTCGTAGTAAGGGGCTTAAAGAAAAATGTCGCATAAGCGCAGCTAGAAAGGATACCTAGACTATCTCTCAACCCGTTGTACCTAATCGCGGCGGGTGGATTTCGGATGGTCACCAGACATGCGAATTTTGATAATCCGCGTCAAACTATGCCGAACTATTCGAGTCTCGCCCGCTCTGTTTAATCAGTCGATTCCGGATCCCTCCTGAACAGCCGGAGTGGTACCTCCTGCTCCGTTGATCAACAAGGGATAGGTCAGTAACATGTCTCAAACATTTGGTCCAGCCTAATTGATCAGAGCTATTGCTCTGGCCATGAATAGTATGATCCCCCATGTCAGTCTATTCTTATACGAGTTTCATCCATCGGGAACCCGATTCAAAACCGGAAGGTAAGACGGGAAGATTCCCCGCCTTCTCTTCCGCCTTCTGAGGCAGACAGACACGGCAGAACGGTTGTCGGTTAGATGCTTACCTAAACCACTCATAACCGGACCACATTGGGGCTAGCTTCTCGGTAAAATTAGCTCCGAACGGAATGCTTGAAAAACTTCGACGCGGATTTCCAGCTTTCTTTCCACACAACAACATCCCACACTGTGTGATGCCTTCCTATAATGCCCGTGGAAGCATGCATCACATATCTGTAGAGATCACCACATTACCGTGGCTTTGCTCACCTTTGTTGTTGAACTGACACATCTCGCCTCGATGCACAGGAATCAATTGGTAAGTGCCACAATTGCCAGCGCTTCCATCATCCCCATTCCCCTCTTTATGATGATACCTACAACCATTTCAAACTAGAGTCTTTGACCCCTTCAGGGCATGAAAACTCACTTGTTTTGCACGTCAGTCTGATGCTTTTGCTCAAGACATTCTTGTTCAATTTTCCAGGCATTGATCAAAGCAGGATGCTAACGGTCAACAGGACACTAAATACTCTCATCTAGCTCCCAGAACAATGTGCGAGTCTGTCTGATTCAATGGTAAGCTCTCCCTTTTACCTTTTCTTCCCTTCTCCCCATGACTTGCATGATGCTTCTTTTACAATATATACGCTGGAAATTACCGACTGAGACCTTCGGGTCATCGACGATATAAATTGGCTATTTCTGATCAGTCATAAAAAACTGCCTATTGTTTTCACTGTCATCAATTTTGTTCGCATATGCTGACGGTTACAAGATTGTCTACATATCACACAGGCTCTTATCTTCACATATAGTTGGCGAAGGGTAAGCTATATTCTCACTGTCTCCTTCGTCTCCATCCCTTCGAAGATGAAACGGCACTGGGCTCCGACGGCGTCAGACATAACGTCCGGTCTTGATGGATATGCCCTTTTTGCGGCAGGCCTAGAAAACCTCGCCCACTGAGATATATTCTCGATCATTAAGATTCACACATAGCGACCTCTTGGCTTGAAGCTAACTGGTAGTCAAAGATGGCAGATATTTTGCTATGATCTTCTCTCTATGACACCTAGTAAAAGGTAAATTTAAACCCCTTTCCTGCAATTCCCCATTACACGAGGATGATTCCCTAGATGACGAGTCTTATTCGAGTTATCGATGCAGACAACATCTTTTTTATACCATTCATGCATTTCTGAAATACTTGTTCTCACATAGAACGTTGCATCAGTTGGCTCAGACCGAAGCTAACTCAATTGCAGTATAGGAATGTTTATTGGGACAACATGTTGCTCCAGTATAATGTCTCCGACAGTCAGGTATCTGTATGTCACCATCTCTATTCTCCGTCTGGCCCACATCGTACAATGATGAAACGACACAAAATAAAGACAAGCATATGTCCAAGTTGGCTTTGCCGACCGGGACGACAATCGTCATGACTGATCAGTCAACATGTTGTCAATACATCATCTTCAACCTCGCACGTCTATGGTGACTGACCAGCGTGGTAGTTATGAGTAGTTTCATTGCCAGCGAAGAGCTCAACATTATACGTAAAACGTGAGTATACACTCTATCGCAACCCCCCATTCCCCTCGTTCAAATGATGATTTACTACTATTTTATCACGACGGTCAACATAAATATTTAACCTTGATGACCACCGCCTGTGACAGGGCATTGGATCTGATATGCACCTTTCTCATTATGATTGTTTTCGTTGCACATAATGTGTGGAGTCTTTGCTGACATGACTTCAGTAATATTATAGGCCCTGTCTTCGATCGATATGCTCCAATCATTTAGGGGCAATGACCCTGTCCATGCGGGACAAGAGTCGTACAACATGCTGGCATGTTCTTTCAGCCGGGATCTTTAGCTTGCAGTAGTCCGAATTCATAGCTACTATAATAAGAATCAATCCCTGGTTGTACTTGCATCTATCTTTATCAATAACCCTGTAATGTCCTGGTCTTCTGCGTAGGCGCTCATGGCCTGAGGCGACGGCGTCCCGTGCCCCTGTCATGGCGCGCCCGATTTGCCCACGGACAAACCTTTCGCCCTATCGCAGACCCTGTGAGATGTCTGGACTACTGCTGGGCCTTGCTAGTCTTGACCATCTTCGTCATAGGCCGATGTGACAGCGATGCTGGTTTGTTGGAGCAGGGTCTGGGCGAAGGGGAGCATGGAGGGCAACGAGCCTGTGAGAAGGCGCGGACGGACAACTTAAGCGCCAGCATCCACGCCGCCTGTGATCAAACCGGCCAGGCTGCATCTCGCGGGATGCACTAGTCCTCTGAAGAGTCAAGACCTGCAATCCCCCCTTCCTCATCCCCGCCCGCTGCTTGTTGGCTCTTGTGCTATTTTTAACCCTTAGAGGGACTCTAGCAGACTAGCACACATCTTGCTGGCCCTCCCTGGTCAGTCGATCGAAACCCACGATGCTCGTCGAAACGGTCGATACGTACCGACTGGCCCGTCTGGGCCTGCAAGCCTCCTCCACACCTGGTTGGACCAGAGGTTGTTGCAAAGAATAGAAATCGGTCTGCGCTTCAGCCCTCTGGCTCCTTCTCAATCGCTCGTCCGTGTTGGCACACTCTAATCTCCCTCCTGCTTCTCCAGCCCTCAGCCTTCAGCCATGGCTCCGTGTTCGGTTGGCCCTGCATCCTTCCGTTAGTATGAATAGGTGCGCCCAGCTTTTCTCACACGCTGTGGTCCTCGACTTGTTCTCGTGTCTGTCTCGCAACGCTGCAAGGTACTGATCACGGCCTCTTTATAGCTGGCGATCGTCGGGCAATGCTGGCGACGAGCCGCCGTCTGGTCCTTATTCTTACAGCGGCTGGCCGACACCTCTTACCTCCAGCAATCAGCCGTCTCCTAGTCGTCGAGAGCATGCTGTACAGCCCCCTCCTCTGACAACATCGTTGGGTGGTCACCAATTCCAAGGGCTTGGACTCGCGCTGGGTTCGGGCTACAGTTCCACCCCTCTTTCGTCGACTTCACTGTCTAGTCCTTTCACGCAAGGCCAGTCTCCCGCCGTAGGCTCGCCTGGAGGGGCGGCAATCGGATCGTCACCAATGGCTTCTAGACAATACAATGTGCCTTACAATCCTCAGGATTGGGGCCCAGTGGGAACTGGTTCGATGAATGCTGGCCAAGCTACATATACACCACCGAATAACACGCTGCGGATCGTCTCTCAGCCACGGTCAACAGGACCACACTCAGGTCTGTCATATTTTTTTCTTCTGTCCCTCCTTCCCTGACTCCCTGATACTCTTATACTCCTTTACCCTTTGTAGTCTTGGGGATGTCTAGCTTGCTGCACGTCGGTGACCAGAAATCGAACCTAATGAGACTCTGTAGATGTATCTTTGTCGCCGCCTCCACCACCATACTCTCCACCAAGCCAGCAACATCGGAGAGAAAATGTCAGTCAGAATACATCCTCAAGGGGCTCCACGTCACCCAGTATGAGCTCCTCATATAATGGGGCGGTGCGTGCAGGTGGGGATGCTCCCTCAGAGTATCGACAGCGCCGCCTTCCCCGTACTCGCCCTCTGTCGATGTTCGTCGGAAGTGAGTCTAGCCACAATCGACGTGTCTCGCTACCACCACCTCCGCCGCTGCCACCAGGCCTTTCATCTAGGTCTTCATCCCAGAATAGGTCAGAGACCTATCGAGAACCCGCACCAGTTATGGCAGGGCCAGGGCCGCACATTGTGGTCTCGCCTGATAATCTCCACT